CCATAAGGAAGCCTAGAAGTCTGCATGAGCAAGAGGGCATAAGCAGACTTCGTAGAAAAGGAGTTGTCTTTAGTAAATTTCCAATACACAAAGTCATCCATGAGCTTCAATGGACGATCTAGACTAAAATTCCGATTAGCAGTTGGACTATCGAAAAATCGATGGATCTTCGAAGGGTCCCACGCGTTAGAATGTGGATCAATGATATCAAACACATGAGTTGGAAGTTCCGACTGGGATAAACCAGACTTTAACAAAACCGGACCACCAGGAGCCCAGTTGTCAAATGTAATACGTACACTTTTACCACCACCTACCTTCCACCGGACACCGGAGCTACCGCAGACAGCGCCATCTGTAAACCCCGGCACCCCCAAGAGGGCCGAGACAAGAAAAAGTTTGGCTTGGGGGAGTTTGATATTTCTATTTTATTTAGTATTGGTTGGTTTAGTATATTATGTTTTGCATGCAGTGTTCGTTTATTGAATTGCAATCTTGATATCATAAGAGGTTCGACAAATTCGATCAAAACCTTAACTTCGCGTTTTACAGTAATTTGGCCATACCAATTTTGAAAACACTTGAGATAGCAATGATTTATGAGAATATTTATCATACAACCTGTTGTATCTTACAAAGCATAATCAAGGTACACATGCAGGCAGACGATCTTGACTGTACGGTTGTACGTACCATGCATAAAAGTATGACCATTTGTAGAAAGAAAATTGTTGTGTTTCACAACTGAAGATAGAAAATTAAATGTATGAGCAATGATCAAATTCTAATTGTATAAGATAGGAATCATTTGATTGAGTATGAGCAACTCAAAAGTCAAAGCAACCCATACTATTGAAATTAAAATGAAATGGGCCTATGGGCCTATTATTTAGGCTTATGATGTAACTAAGAATCGGCCTACGAAATGAAAAGTGAGAAAAGGCAGCCCATATATTTATGCACCACTTTTTTCTTTTTCTTTTTTTTTCTTTTAAGGAAATTTAGGAAGATTAAAGAAAGTCTTGATTTAGGAGGGAAATTAAGTCAGTAAAGGAGTTAAGTCTTGATTATCAGGTTACCAGTCATAAGGTTTTTTTTTTTTTTTTTTTTTGAGAAAATATCAGTCATAAGGTTTGTTAAAAGAATATGGGTTTAAAAGTTGGGATTATTATAAATTAACTTAAAAGTGGGACAATTATAAGAAGTTGAGTAAAAGGTAGGATTATTAATTTCAATTATTCCAAATATTTATGCACCACTTAAAACAGAACTATGGTAGCTATAATAATAATATGTTATAAACTATGTACGAAGTAGTTCATATGTAAAAAGAACATTTTAGATGCAACCTGAGTATAAGTAATGTATTTTTGCCAAGCTAAACTAGGCCTAAGAAAGGAAGTACCTTCTGATCTTTTGGTTGGAGGTTCATTTTCCACTAAATATGTTTTGGTGTAGAGAATTTCCTTACCTTGCCCCTAATCATTAAAGGTCTTGTTTGCTAATCCCAGCTAGGTTGATTTAATCAAGTTCATGAGAGGTTTTGGGCCTTTCATTAACTTATTTAATGATGTTTTTTATATATCTAATCAACATGTATAGATACGGTGCTAAAAAATGCAAACAATGACAATGACCATGTGCAACATTATACATTTGGGCCCTTGATTCTAGATTTCTAGATACAAAATCTATTTGGTACAAAATTGTACCATGCATAAAAGTAGGGGTATATATAAGTAAATCATAGGTAATACCTCTATTAACTTTTATTTGCAACTTTAGGGTATTATTTGTAAGACATAAAATATTCTAAAGTTGTAAATAAAAGTTAACGGAGGTAGTACATATTATTTCTGTGTATCGTGATAGAATATTATGTACCAAATTTTATCTTTCAGGGGCCTTATTTAATCGCTTACATTACTCAAGATCTTAACCATCCCTAAACATGCGTCTAAAACTGTCATTTGGAGCTACAGTCAAATGAGTCAACAGAAAGAGGCTCAGTCAAATATCAACAAGTCGTACAATTTATCAATTTACTACGGTGGTATTTACTATTCCACAATGTTCAACATAATGTTTTTTTTTTTGTTTTTTTTTAACTATCGTCAATACATATACAATATAAAAATACAATTATCTAATTTTGAGTACAACTTATACTCTTGTACACTTACGTCAAAGTGTGATTTTATTGGTCAAAAATAATATCTTTGGGTGTAAATGATTTATTTTTGTGATTCACATGACACAATTATTGACACATGACCATTGAACATAGCTTGGGTGTCGGCTGTGAGCAAGTGGTTCCACCAAAAAAAGTACCACAAAGAAAAAAGAGATGGAAATGAAAAACATAAGACCATGGTCATCTTACATGAAAATGGAAGTGTTGAAAGTCAGTTTTGTTCCTTGAAGAGTTACCCTCCTAAAAGAGTCATACCATGTATTATTGTTCATTAAATGCAACATCCAAAAATCTCTTAGGCTTAGCTGTCACAATCGAATTTATTAGTAAGGGTATGTTCTCTATAGCTTAATTTCAATTCAACTCCAATTAGTTCAGTTCAGTTTTTAATTTCCTTCTCTCATAAACAATTCATTTCAGCTCTATTCAGTTCAGTTTAGTTTAGTTCCTAATTTCCTTCTCTCATAAACAATTCATTTTAGCTCTATTTATTTCAATTCAATGGACCCTAAGTGGTTATTAAACCTATTCATCCTTTTTGGCACCCTTTTCAACTAGCCTAGCTACTTCATCCACCATTCCACCCCCTCTCTAGCTCTCTAATGTCTAATCTGCTGTGGAAGCTTCCTCATTATTAACATGTACATGGTACAATAGAAAATTTAAGATTATTAGATTACCTAGGTAGATAATTTATCAATGTAAAATCAATAATCTATTGATTTGTTACGTTCGTTTTTAATATTCTGCTCACAACTGTTAGTTTTTGTTTCTATGAAAGTTTGAATAAGGTGATTAAGTAATAATGAAAAAATAGAATAAAGTAAGATACATTGAAGAAATTATAGGTTTGAAATGTAAATGAGGCTAAAAAGGGTTGATAAAGTAAATGATTGTGAAAAGGGTTGATAAAGAATGATAATTTGTTGTATTTTAATTGTACATATTTCCACTTTGGTTGTCCAAAATTCCATCATTCTTGCTTAAGAAATTATAAATATCATCCTATATCAAGATATATTCTCCGATTTTTTTTTAAAAATAAAGTATCCTTGTATGTACGCAGTTGTGTTTACAATAGCAAACAATTGAATGATTGCAAAGTGAGTTTTTTAAATACTACATTTGTGGTTTTATATGCAACATTATTTGGGTATCCAAAAAAAAAAACTCTTAGAATATTCAACTTTAATTTAAAGGATATTTTGGATTTTAACACCTTACAAAAGGCTGAAAATGTTTTTTAACACCCCCCAAAAAAAAAAACTTTTATTTTAACACCTCCCAAAAATATAAAAGTTGGAAGTTAACACCAAAATCCATCTTCCGTTAACAGAACTGTTAGTGGGGCCCACCCCAACGGATATATTTTTAAAAGATCTGTATATAAGAACCATTCTTCCACGATTCTTGCACGATATATAAGAACCATTCTTGCACGATTCTCCCCCAATGAACGAAATTGTTGTTCTTATTGAATAGCAGCAGCGCATTGCATTGTTGCACGATACTTGAAACAATTCTTTCACGATTCTTCCACGATTTTTGAGAAGAGGAACAGATTGAAGCTGCTGAAACAGGTGAGTGCGGTCAATTGTTCGGTTGTTTGGTAATTATGGTTTAAATTCTCTTCAATTATTATTTGCAATTGTTTCGTACTCAGATTAATGGTTGGATTATGTTATGTACGCATCTAAATGCCCAATTGCGAAATTAGGGTTCGTCAGAAATTGAATTTGGGGCTTTTCGTATTATGAAATTAAAAATGAATTTTGTTGCTGTCAATGTTAATTCGTTAGTGTACAAATCTGACGAATGTGACTGTCGATCTAAAATTGATGCAGATTATGTCGTTTGTTAGCTCTTCCCCTCCTGAGGCCAGAAAATGTAAGTGTGGTGTGCCAATGGCCAAGCTCACTAGCTGGACAAGGGAGAATCCAGGCAGGAAGTTCATATCATGTAAGTTTTATGACCCAATAAAGAAACAAGGGGTTGCAAAGCTTTCGAATGGGTTGATCAACCTGATGGAACAGATTGGCAAACAGGGGTTATCAACAACCTGTTGTTGGATAAGAAGCTGCTAAAGGGTGAAGTTAATGAATTGAAAAGGGAAGTTGATGAAATCAGTGGCCAAAGGAGGTGCCTACTTAATGAAGTTGATAATTTGAAGATGAGATGCAAGGCCTTGAACGCTGACAGGAAGAGAATGAACAGGGAGTGCAATGAAGGGAAGGTGTCTTCAATCAGCTGTTTTGGTTGGGTGGGCATGGCCATTTGTATAGGTTTGTCAATGGGTGTAATTTTCCTAATGGCTAGGGGTGTGTAATAGTAAGCTGTATTAAGTAGTTATAATTTCTTGTAATGACTTGAAGTGTTATAAATATGTCTTTTAATCAACCTATTTATGCCTTGTCTAAGTTCCTATTTATGCCTTGTCTTTTAATCAACCTATTTAAACATGTGAAACATTAAAACATGGGAAATATGTGAAACACTAAGATAGTTCAAGTAGGTTGACAAAAGAACCTTACTTCAACATGTTTCAATGGCAATCAAAGCCATGCAACCATTACAATTCAATATCTAATTGTTCAAATTTGTTAAGGGAAGCCACTAAAAAACTAGCAAGTTACATAACCAGTCATGAGTACATAATTTTGAAATTGTTCAACAGACATAATGTTTGATATCCAGCATGAGTACATCACTGAGTAAGGTTGTTGAGGGATTGCAGCCTGGCCCTTGTTACAACACCTGTGGCTGTGTAGGCTGACTTGAGGAAGACCTTGTCTTCTTTTTGGTTGGCTTGAGGCAGGCTGACTTGAGGAAGGCTGAGCTGAGGATGGCTGACTAGAGGATGGCTGAGCTGAGGAATGCTTAGCTGAGGAAGACTGTGGCTGTGGGCGCTTGCTGAATGGCAGACAACCTTCTTGCTCTTGAGGAAACTTTTTGTTTCCTATGCTGTTTGGTCCAGCCCCAATTGCACTCTATGACATGCATATAAAAATAAAAAGTCAATGGAAAAGACACATACATATATAAAACAAAGGGGGAGTTGGTGCTTTGTTACCTTTTTAGCAGCCCTAATCTCTTTCTTTCTTCCTCTCCTCCACCATCCAAGGAGTGTTCAGTGGGGGTCTGCCTGCTGACTTTATCAGCTCTGTAGCTGGTGCAGCAGGTACTTTGCAAGTCTTGGCATAATGCCTATATCCCCCACAGTTGCTGCATTGCTTCTTCCTCTTGGTACTTGCCTGACCACCTGAAGAAGAACATTCTCCTGGCTCAAGCTTCCTTTTTTTGCTCTTTGGTCTCCCAGGTTGCACCTTAACAGAAGGGGGTAGTGGTTCCCTCATTCTGACTGTCTCCCAGTGCTTTGGGCCAGGCATTGGTTGGACAGCTGGTTCATAAGCAGACCTGTATGTGTCCATGGTATAGTATGGGTCAACAACAGCCTCTATGTCACCCCTCATATCCAATATGCAGGCATAAGCATGAACACATGGAATGCCAGTGAGTTCCCAATGGTAACATGTGCAGGTCTCCTTGTCCAAATCAACCAACACCTGGTCATCCTTCAGCTGCACCTCAAATGTATTCCCTCTGGATGGCTGCACCACACAGGACCTAGCCACAAAGTCTATCCTCCCCAGAACATGCCTCACATATGGCACTAAGTTGTGTGTAATTGTTTTTGAATCCTCCCACTTTTCATTATTCCTGTTCATAATATACCTCCTCATCCATTCCATTTGGGTGAGGATAGGTTTATCTCTGGCAGGCCTAATGACTGCATTGAAAGTCTCACACATGTTGTTCAACAACATGTTGGACTTGCAGTTTGGTGTGAATGCATGTCTAGACCAATGGTGGGGAGGAATGTTGATTAAATACTCATATGCCTCTTCATCGAGGAATTTGATAGACTCCATGGCAATTTCATGCTCAAACTGACATATAAAAGCATACCAGAAATCACACCAAGCATATACAAGCTAACCAATATAAAAACACACCAACAGTCATATAAAAGCATAGGCTAGCTTCAACAATCAATAAACTTACAATGGTGGTGGCCCTAGCTGCTCTCCAAAACAGCTCCTTAAAGGTTGATCCAGTGAAGTTGAGCTTGAAGTTAGCCCAAATATGCCTCACACAAAACCTTTGCTCAGCTTTGGGAATAACATCAGCCATTGCTTTAATCAAACCCTACCAAATGCAGACAAAAGTATAATCATCA